GAAACCGTCAGATCCCTGAGGAAGACTGGCACGTGCGTACAATGGCACAATCCGCGTACGCACTTTTATGAAAGACGTGGAACTCTGGAGTAGCTCGAGGCCACCAATTAACTTAGATCATAGAGGATATAGTGGACGAGAGGGCGCTCTTCCGAGGCACCCCGCATACCCGCAGGCGCAGGAGCAGGAGGTGTAGTACGAGGAGGAGGAGGAGGTTGCGCGGGAGCGAGACGAGGAGGTCCAGGACGAGGAGGAGGAGGTCGGGGTGGACCGGGACCGCGAGGAGGAGGAGGAGCCTCCCCACCACGACGAGGACGAGGAGGAGGAGGAGGAGGTGCTGGAGCGGGAGGAGGAGGAGGAGGACGACCAGGAGGAGCGGGAGCGCGACGACGACGACGACGACGACGACCAGGAGGAGCGGGAGCGGGAGGAGCCCCACGAGCTACCTCCGCGGGAGAAGCCTCCGCCTCGCCGCCGGTCGGCAGAGAGGCTCCGCCTTCCCGCCTCCTCCTCCTCCTGCTCCACCTCCTCCTCCACCTCCTCCGCCTCCACCTCCTCCGCCTCCGCCCACTCATCCTGCCAGTCGTCGAGGCTGATCTCGTCGCCCCCCCCGCCCCACGCCCCAGCCTCCCTCTCCTCCGCCGCCAGCCGCCGCCCGTCAGCGGCAAACGAGTCCCCGCTCGCCTCTGCTGCCGCCGCCGCCGGCGGAGGAGGCGAGAGACTGGCGGCAGCCTTGGTCCGCCACGGAAAGTTCATGTCCGGGCCGATCTCGAGGTTCGCGGCCGGGGAGAGCACGCCGCCGCGCCCGTCCTCCACCGCAATCCCGCTCACGAGGTAGGCGCCCGACCGGACGAGCAGAGAGATCGAGTACGTGAGGCCGGGCTGAAAGCCATCCGCCAGCGCGAGCGCCATCCGCAGCGGCGGAGCGGCGACGCCAGAGTCGGCGTTGGCGCAGATGTCATCCCCGTCGGTCGAGGTGTCGGCCAGCGAGGCGACGGCGCGGCCGCCGGCCGTGGAGGCGCTCGCGTTGTTGCAGGTGGGGATCTCGAACCACGGCGTCGGGCCGGGCGCGGGCGGATCAGGGCGAGTGGCCTCGTAGATCACGAGGCCGGCGCCGGCGGCGAACAGAAGGGCCGGGAGGAAGGGCGGGACCGCTGTCATCGAGCAACCGGACACCTTGCTTGAGTGGTGGGGGGGGCGGTCCTGACTCGGCAAACCCCGGAAAAGTGCGGCAAAAATAAGCGCCGGCACGTGTAGGCGCGCATCTTAGCCAAGGCTCGCGCCCACACGTGTAGGTGCTTGTGTCAGATACGCGCCCACACGTGCAGGTGCGAGCCCTAGCTAACATGAGCGCCTCCACGTGCAGATGCGCATTTGGCGAGCTCGAATATAAGCGTCTACTCGTGCAGGCGCTCGTTTTAGCTAAGAAACGGTCTTGAGACCGAGCAGATGTCGCCGCCGGGCGCGGTCGGCGCGGTCGACGCCTCGCCGCGAGCGGCCGCTTCGTCCGCTGGTGCACTCGCAGCCGAGGGCTCGCTCGCCGCGCCGCCGTCGCCGCCCCTCCGGCTGCCGTCGAGCTCGGCCGCCGGCGAGGCGCAGGCGGGGGCGGAGGCGGGCTCCGGCACCGGTAACAGCCGCGTCGCGCCGCGAGGCTGGAGCATCACACCGGGGTCCCAGAGGCGCTATAGCCCTAGTCCATACTGGCGCTATAGCCCTAGTCCAGCAGCCGCCCGCGGAGCGGGCGGCCCAGGCCCGTCCGCAGAGCCACCGCCAGACCCGTTCTGGGCCGCCGTCTTTAGCGAGGACAAAACGCCGCCGGACGGGCCTGGGTCGCCGCACGCCTTGGCGTACGTGGTGAAGCGGCTCGGGCTCACCAAGGCGAGATTGGACAGGTGGATGAAGGAGTGCTGGCCGTACGGCGTCGACGACGGCGAGGAGGGTGGCGCACATATGTCCAGCCTCGAGCCCTCGCCAGACACGCCGCCGCCCGCCCGCCTCCTCGACCTCCCCTCGGAGCTCCTCGTGCGCGTCCTTTCTCACTGCGACCCCGCCGACATCGCTCGCGTCGCGGCCGTCTCGCTGCTCTTCCACGCCTCGCTTGCGGTGGAGGCCATCCGCTTGTGGGCGCAAGAGCGCGGCTTCGAGCTGCCGGCGCAGCCAGAGGGCGAGAGCTGCGCCGTGCGGTGGCTGTGCTTCGCTGCGTTGCTGCGCGAGGCCAACCCGCCGGTGAGGGCGGCGGCAGGGAGTGGGCACAGCGTCTTCATCGACGGCGAGGGGCGGCTCTCGTCGTGCGGTTCAGCGGTGTCCTACAGGCCAGGGCTGCTCGGGCACGGCGAGGGCGTGATGCGGCTCAACACGCCGATCCGCCTCCCTTCCACACTGGGCGGTGAGCGCGCCGTGAGCGTGGCGGCGGGAGGCGCGCACAGCTTCGCCCTCACCGCCAACGGCAGTGTCTGGAGCTGGGGCAGTGGAGCCCTTGGCAAGCTGGGCCACGGCGACCAGCAGGACCAGTGGCAGCCCAAGAAGATCGAGGCCTTCGCTGGCCAGCGCGTCGTCGCCGTGTCGGCTGGAGCCGCGCGCAGCCTCGCCCTCACCGCCGACGGCGCTGTCTGGAACTGGGGCGGTGGAAGCTCTGGCCTGCTGGGCCACGGCGACCTGCAGGACCAGCTGCTGCCGAAGAAGGTCGAGGCCTTGGCTGGGCGGCGCGTCGTCGCTGCGTCGGCTGGAGGCTTCCACAGCCTCGCCATCACCGCCGACGGCGCTGTCCTTACCTGGGGCGAGGGCGAGCGCGGCTGCCTAGGCCACGGAGAGGACCTGTCGAACCAGCTGCTGCCCAAGAAGGTCGAGGCCTTCGCTGGGCAGCGCGTTGTTGCTGTGTCGGCTGGAGAGGGCCACAGCCTTGCCCTCACCGCCGACGGCGCCGTCTGGAGCTGGGGCTTGGGAGCCTGGGGCCGGTTGGGCCACGGCGACCAGCAGCGCCAGCTGCTGCCGAAGAAGATCGAGGCTTTTGCTGGACAGCGCGTCGTCGCTGTGTCTGCTGCGCACATACAAAGCCTCGCCATCATCGCCGACAGCGCCGTCTGGAGCTGGGGCGGTGGCTACCTTGGCCGGCTGGGCCACGGCGACGAGCAGAACCAGCTGCTGCCGAAGAAGGTCGAGGCCTTCGCTGGCCAGCGCGTCGTTGCTGTGTCGGCTGGAGTATTCCACAGCATCGCCCTCACCGCCGATGGCGCTGTCCTCTCCTGCGGCAAGGGTGACCGCGGCTGCCTAGGCCACGGAGAGGACCTGTCGAACCAGCTGCTGCCCAAGAAGGTCGCGGCGTGGGCGCCAGGGCTGTGATGCGAGGCTCTGCGATTGTCTGCAGCCTCCCTCACATGGCCTCCCACCCGGTACGACCCGGCGTTGGATGCGTGGGAGGAGGTGGCGCCGATGTCGACGGCTCGAGCGGTTGCGGTGCGGTCGCGGTTGCGGTGCTTGACTGCAAGCTGTACCTGGGCGGCGAATCCGCCCACCGCCACCTCTGCTCAGTCGAGCGGTACGATCCTGCTCTAAATGTGCGTGGGAGACGGTGGCGCCGATGGGGAAGGCGGCATTGCCCTGGTGTAAGTCGATTCAGCCACGCGCGGGCAGGGGGGCGCTCAGCAGGGCGGAGGGTGAGGCTTGAGCGCTGAGGCGGTGCTGGAGAGGCAGTTGCATGGCCGCGGACACGTGATCGTCTCACGTGTGCGCGACGCTTGATGCGCGTTTGTGACTGCTCTTCCTTTTTACGTACATGCCACCATCTCCCCTGTGAGCGCACAGCGCACCGCGGGGGCCTAAAGATCGACACTCGAGGGTGCGCTGTGCCCGCTGGGGTGGGCGGGGGGACCTCTCCGCTCTCTCCAGAGCCTCCACCCCCCTCGCCCTCTCTCTCCATGCTCGCTGACTGCTCTCTCTGATATGATGCACCTGACACCACATTGTTGGGTGACGCTCCCTCTCCGGGGCGCTATGTCTGCTGGCTCTGAGGCGGGGTCAGTGGCGGTATCGGCAGCGCCCCACCGCTCGGCTGCACCGCCGGCGCCATCGGCAGCGCCACCGCTCGCAGCGGCGCGGCGGCGGGGGTGCGCGGCTGCTGCGCGGCTGGCGAGTCTGGCTGGGGGGGGGGCTCCGCCTCTCCGCCCGACTGGCCGCCGCCCCTCCCTCGCTCGCCCTCCCCCGGGCTCAGCCCGAGCGCGACCGTCGAGATGTTCCACGGCGCGGGGCCGGCGCCGCGCTTGTCTGCGGCGGGCGAGAAGGAGAAGGCGCCGGCCGGGTCCTAGAGTCGGGGCTCTCATGGACGCGTCACAGAGGGCTCGGGAGGAGGGCTCCGAGCAGGGCCGCCGGCCGACCCACCTCGCGGCTGCTCGAGCCGACCCGCAGCACCACCGCAAGCTCTGCGAGGTCGCCGGTCGAGAGCCGGCGGGCGACCTTGGGAAAGAAAAGGAGTGAGGGGACCCTTTTGTCTTTCTCCGGGGCGAAGGAATCCGGGGCGAAGGAAGTGCACGGGAGGGTGTATAGAGAAGATCAGAGGGAGTCTGCGACCTTCCACAGCGCCGCCGCCGTGAGCAGCTTGACGAGGATGATAGAGGCCGAGGCGGCGGCGAGCAGGTGCTGCGTGGTGACGCCGAGCCGCGTCCGCTGCAGCATCGCGAGCAGCCAGACCTCGCGCCCCGAGTACAGCGTCACGGTGAGCGTGTTGGAGAGGGCGCACGCAAAGATGGCGGACATCGCCATCGAGCGGGCGGCCCAGACCGAGAGCAGCGCGTCGGCGCAAAAGAGGAGGAGGAGCACGATGGTGACGATGGCGCGGCGGGTGAGGATGCAGGCGGGCAGGCTCCACCGCGTCGAGGCGGCCTCCTCGGCGCTGCCGACGCACCTCCGGCGCTGCATCTCGAGCAGCGCCGCGTAGAGCAGGAGGAGGAGCGCCGAGGACCACGAGAAGCGGTAGAGGAGCGAGCGCGCCTCGCGGACGTTGGAGCCGTCCGAGGCCAGGAACTGGACGGCGGAGTAGGTGACTCCCATCGGGACCTGGTCCCTGCTGGCGCCGCTTGCTGTCGCGGGGTCGAGTTCGAGTGAGGCCGGCTGGCCGTGGTTTGATGCAAAAAAAAAATCAGGAAGGGGGCTCGGAGCTCGCGGGGGAGGTAACGAGTGAACTACAGGTAGTGGGGAAGGCAGCCTCGACTGCCATACAGACATGGATGCGAAACAACGACAAGACCAACGCACGGGCAGAGGAACGAGAGAAGAATATAGGGTGCATAAAGCGCCTGTTCACGGCATGGAGGGTGAACCACGCCGAACGTACTGAACGTAGAGCCGAGCGGAAGGAAACGGGGGAAGACGACTCCGAGGAGGACGAACCAGTGGAAATCCCGTTGTCAGCCGTCACGATGCACCCGAAGGGGACCCCAGCAAGCCTGGGCGCCCAGCACCGTGCAAGAAAAAGAATTTTCGAAAACCTCACGCGACACTGGCCGTCCTTCCAAAATCCTGCTCGTTCGTGCAGGTGGGGACCCTGTCCTCCTCCCCTATCCCTCGTTCGGGTTGTCTGTTTTCTTTCTGGGCACGGGACTGGCGCGCACTGGCACTATCGCGGCAATCCACATCGAGGCCGCCCGCCGGCGCAGCAATAGTACTGCGCACTGCTGGGCAGCGCCCAGATTGCAGGGAAGGCCTTGGCGCTTCTCGCCAGCCAGACTGACTCGGCAACCGGCAAGCGAGCCGACTGCGCGTCCCGAGCCGACGGCTCGGCGCCATCGCACAGGCCCGCCAGCCGCCGCGCAGCTCCGGAGAGGCAGCTGGCGTTGCGCTGCATTGCCTGAAGCTGCTGTTGAGACTCGCCAGCAGATGAAGCTGCCCCGCGCGCCGCCGCGAGCACCGCGTCGTGGCCTCGCCCTCTGGAGAGCCCCAGCACAGCCCCTCGCGGCCACTCGCACCGTTGCAGCAGCTCCGACCCCGCCACTCCGGCTCCCGAGCGCGCGGCGAGCAAGAGGAAGAGCAGGCGTTACTATTTTTTGGCGCGAATATGGCGCCGTGAGTCGATGACGCCGTCCGCCGACGAGGTGTCCGTGGTGAGCGAGCGATCTCGCGAGCAGAAGGACGCCGAGGGCCGCAAGAGCGCCATCGACCTCGAGGTGGGAGCTGTGGAGACGCCGCGCAAGCGGAGCCGGGCCGACGTTGAGACGAGGGTTGCCAAGGCCCGCTCGCTGTGCTCGACGGAGGTGGACGCGCGAGCGCGTGAGCTGATGGAGGAGCACTACAAAGAGTTTATTGCCGAGAGGATCGACGGCGCAGAGCTGCAGCGCCGGCGTGCGGCCGCGCGCGATCAAGCGGCGAAGGAGCACCCGCCGCTCAGCGCCCTCGAAACGGCCTTCGCCGCGTACACTGCGGCGGCCGCCGCAGAGCAGGCGGCGGAGGCGAGGCGCGAGGCGGCGGAGGCGACGCTCGAGGCGGCGCTGCGTGCGTTAGAGAAGAAGGGTGAGGCCGGGTCGCCGGGCGTCAGGGAGGGCGACAAGGCTGCGCGGATTGCAGTGTACCCGCAAGAAGCTGCCAACGACAGGATCGTGCTGACGGAGGACGAGCTGGTGAGAAGACGAGAAGAGAGAAGAAGAAGAGAGAGAGAAGAGAGAGAAGAGAGAGAGAGAGAGCCGAGCGTGGCGGGAGCGTGGCGCGGGTGGAGCGCGTGACTTGTGTGCGCCCCTCTCAGGCGCGGCTCGAGGAGGGCGAGTTCCTCAACGGCTCACTGGTCGACTACAGGCTGCGCTTCTTCCAGGCGGGCGGGAGGGGGGCAATCGCGAAGAGAGGGGGACGGCCAGCGCTTCATCACTCCGTCCGCCTCCCCCTCACGCCGCACACTCTCCACGCCGCAGGAGGAGCTCAAGAGCCTCGACCCGGAGACGTTCAAACGGTGCCACTTCTTCAACTCCTCCTTCTACACGCGGCTGCTGCAGACCATGCAGGGCGGATCGTCGGCAAAGGAGCGCGAGGCCGCCTACCAGCATGTCCGCGGCTGGACAACGCGCGCGCCACCTCTCCTCCCCACCCGCCTTCCCCGCCTGCCCGCCTCTCTGTCTCTGCATGTGTATGGGAGAGCAGCCTCGGGGAGAGGGGCGCACAGAGAAAGAGAGAGCACCGGCTGCGCGGCTAGGCACGTCGACCTCTTCACTAAGGACTACATCTTCGTGCCGATCAACGAGGGCCTGCACTGGTCCCTCGCCGTCGTGTGCAGGCGCCCGGCCTTCGGGCGGAGATCACCACCCGATCTCACCCGATCTCGCCCGATCTCGCCCGATCTCGCCCGATCTCGCCCGATCTCACCCGCCCGAGGTCATTGCTCGCGTGCAGGCCCGGCCTGTGGGCGCAGCAGCAGCATGCGGCGCTGCCGTCGCAGCAGCCGGCCGCCGAGGAGGAGGAGGAGGAGGAGGAGGAGGAGGACGAGTCGGACGGAGCGAGTTGTGTGAATTGGCGGACCCGCCACTGCCTCCGATTCGACCTGCGTAGGCCAGGGAGGGGCGCGAGCCGGGCGAGGAGGGCGAGGCTGGCGAGGCTGGCGAGTGGCCCCCGCACAAGGAGGAGTGGTTGGAGAGCTCAGCGGAGGTGGAGGCGGACGGGCTCGGCACGTCCATCCTCGGTCAGATCCTTCTCGAGAAGGAGGGGCGCGGCGGGCGGCGCTCGTACGATTGGGCTCCGAGCAAGCGCGGCGAGCGGGCGGCGGCGGCGGCGGCGGCGGCGGCGGCGGCGGCGGCGGCGGCGGCGGCGGCGGCGGCGCAGCAGCAGCAGCAGCGGAGCGGCGGCAAGCAGCGCGCGGCGGCTGTCCTGCCGACGGCGGAGTCTCTCGATCAGAAGCCGGGGAGCATCCGCGAGGAGCGGCGCAAGAAGCGCGCCCGCGAGGAGGAGAAGGCGCTGGCGGGCGCGGAGGAGGGCGAGCAGACGTGCATCCTCTACCTCGACTCGCTCGGAGGCCACCGCGAGAGAGGCGCCGCCCCGCCACCCCCGCACCGCCTCCCCCCGCCCCCGCCAACCTCTCACCCCCAACCTCTGTCCGCCCCTCCCCCGCCCCTCTGTCGCCCCTCCCGCCGCCCCTCCCGCCGCCCCTCCCGCCGCTCTCGCCACCCCGACCGCTTCGCTGCCCCTCCTCCCCCCAAAGGCATCATGTACCTCAGGTGGTACCTCGAGGAGGAGTACAAGAACAAGATGGCGCGCCGCGCCGGCGCCTCCTCCTCCGAGGCGCCGCCGGTCGACGACCCGAAGTTCCGCTTGATGGAGACCAAGGAGGTCAAGGCGCCGCGGCAGCACAACCGCTCCGACGGCGCGCTGTACATGCTCCAGTTCATCGAGAAGCTCGCGAAGCACGCCTCCGCCCTCAAGCCGCCGCTCGAGAGCACGCCCCACCCGTCGTGGTCCGCCTACGAGGATCTCCGCTTCGGGAAGGAGGACGTCCGGCAGATGCGGCGCGACATGAAGCGCGACATCCAGCTGCTCCGCGAACAGCAGGCGTGTGAGCGTCCTCCAGCTTGAGCGAGCCGAGAGGCGGCAAGACGTCCTTGGCCGGCCGCTGCGCCTCTGCTCCGCCCAGAGGTTCACAGGAAGATTCAGGCCACGGCCACGAAACTTGGCGTCTTCTTGTTCGGCTGCCACGTCCCCGCATTCTTCCTCCTCGCGACACCGAGTCCCAAGTATCCCGCCTGTCAAGGGTGCTGCTCCCCGTGATCGCCGCATGTCGTCGCGGCCTCGACGCCCCGCTCCGTGATGGCTACTACGTTTGAGCCCGCTCTTGCGGGGGGCAGGCGTCTTGTCCCGATCGGGCCGGTGCCCACGCATGTTTTCGAGGGCCCCCACTCCCGCCCATTACGTACGTCGTCAGTAGACTACTCGGAGTACGGTACAGGGGCGGCTAGCCCGGTCTCCTCTTGAAGCGGCCCGCCGCGCCACTCGTGGGCTCGCCGGGCTCGTCAATACTACCATTCCAGGTCGAGGTCCACTCTGTGTATGCTGACGCGCTCTCCCGGAGAGCGGCGAGGGGCGAGGCCAAGGCGCGAGGGGCAGCGACACCCCATCTCACGATGCGAGAACACAGAGTCTCTCACACACAGCCCGCTGAGTCCTGTGAGGGACGTGAGACAGACGGGCCGCGCGCCCCGCGCGACGAGCCCGGACCCCGGTGACGTCAAAATCGCGTCGACAGCGCCGCGGGCGTACACCGTGTATACACTTCTAGGGCGTACTTTACAAGACCGAGGACGGCTAAGTCTCACAAACTCGCCACAACGTAAACAAAACCGGACCAACATTTCGCCCGCCGCGAGAACAAGCTGGGTTACGGTGTACATGCGCTCAGAGCTCAGCCATAACGGGACCTCATCCGCCGGTGTGCGCGGTTCCTCTAGCGCCAAGCTCTGCGGCGGCCGCAGTGTGGCGCCACAGGCGCCGGCGCCGGGCGAGCCCTCGGATGCGGAGGGCTGGGGAGCACTTCTGCGTACTCTCCCAGAGGCCGATGGCGGCGCAGGAACAAGATCCGCTCAATTCGGCAGGACTGGCGCCGTGGGCCCCTCCTCCCAATCTTCATCCTCCAGGTCGTCCCACGAGCCCGGCACGGGCCTGCCCGCGCCCTCCTCGCCAGCCTCGCCAGCCTCGCCCTCCTCTCCCGCCTCGGCCTCCGCCTCGGCCTCCGCCTCGCCCTCCTCGCCCTCCGCCTCGCCATCCGGATCCTCCGGGTCGCACGACTCGTCTCCGTCCGACTCGTCCTCCTCCTCCTCCGAGTCCTCCTCCTCGGCGGCCGGCTGCTGCGACGGCAGCGCCGCATACTGCTGCTGCGCCCACAGGCCGGGCCTGCAGACGAGCGGTGGCCTCGGGCGGTTGATCTCGGGCGATCTCGGGCGATCTCGGGAGATCTCGGGTCACAGGCGCGCCGGGCACCTGCTCGGCGCCGCCTCGCCGCTGCCCTCGCCCGGCGCAACGTCCGAACTCCTCGCGGTCGCGCTGGTGCGCCGCTCCGCCAGGTACTGCTCGACGACGCCCAATCTCACAGCCCGCGCAATCTCATTCTCTGACAGCCCGCGCAATCGCATTCTCTCGACGGAAGCTCCGTTCTCTGACAGCCAACGCAATCTCATTCTCTCGAAGTGCGCCTCGCCGTCCAGGCCGTAAGAGCTGCTGGAAACGGCTGCTGCGACGGCCTCGCCGCTGCTGCCCTCGCCCGGCGCCGCCTCGCCTCCGCCCTGCCGCACGGCGCCCCCTGCGCTCGAGCGCTGCCGCAGCAGACCCTGCGGCCGCGAGGCTGGGCGCGGCGGCTGGAACGGCGCGACGTGCGCCGCGCCGTCCGGGCCGTGAGAGCCGCTGCTGGAGGGTCGAGCTCCCTCATCGACACGCTGCCGCATCCTCCGAAAGTCACCGCCCTCCGCGGCGCGCCTCAGCCGCTCGTTCTCATCGCGCAGCGTACGCACCGGCGGCTCGAGTGCCGCGACGTTCGGATCGTCCCACGACAGCGCCGCGCGCCGAGCCGCCGCCGAGCCGCTGCTGCCCTCGCCCGGCGACGCGTCCGGCCCGAAGTCGCCCTCGAACGCCTCGCGGTCGCGCTGGCGCGCCGCGCCGTCCGGGCCGTAAGAGCCGAGCCTGATGTTGGCTCGCTCTAGCCAGCCAAGAAGGCCAGCCTTGTGCTCGAGAGCGAAGCGCTTGTAGGCAAGAGTCCGGCCCACGGTATTGTACCAGCGCATCTTTGCGGGCGAGAGGCGGAGGACCGTGGTGGCCCAAGAGAAGTCACGGGGGCCGATGGTGGTGGCAGTGTCTGGCACGGTGACGCGGGCGAGGGCGGAGCAGCCCTCGAAGGCGCCGTAGCCGATGGAGGTGAGGCCGGCGGGGAAGGTGACGGAGCTGAGGGAGGAGCAGCCGTTGAAGGCGCTGTTGCCGATGGAGGTGAGGCCGGCGGGGAAGGTGACGCGGGAGAGGGCAGAGCAGCCGTAGAAGGCGTTGGTGTCGATGGAGGTGAGGCCGGCGGGGAGGCCGATGGAGGAGAGGGCAGAGCAGCCAGCGAAGACGCCCTCGCTGATGGAGGTGAGGCCGGCGGCGGAGAGGTCGATGGAGGTGATGGCGGAGCAGCGGGCGAAGGCGGAGTCGCCGATGGAGGTGAGGCCGGCGGGGAGGGTGACGGAGGTGAGGGCGGAGCAGAGGTTGAAGGCGCCGTCGCCGATGGAGGTGAGGCCGGCAGGGAGGTCGATGGAGGAGAGCGAGGAGCAGCCCTCGAAGGCGCCGCTGCCGATCGAGGCAAGGCTGCGCGGGAAGGCGACCGAGACGAGAGAGGTGCGGTTGTGGAACGCCTCGTCCGGCAGGTGCGTCATGCCTTCAGGCAGCACCGCGTGCCCGTCGGTGACGACCTGCCAGCCGCCCACGGAGGGGGCCGCGGGCCCTTCCTCCCAATCTTTATCGTCCAGGTCGTCCCACGCCGCCGCCTCGCCGCTGCCGCCCTCGCCTGGCGCCGCCTCGCCGCTGCCGCCCTCGCCTGGCGCCGCCTCGCCGCTGCTGCCCTCGCCTGGCGCCGCGTCCGGCCCAAAGTCGCCCTCGAACGCCTCGCGGTCGCGCTGGCGCGCCGCGCCGTCCGGGCCGTAAGAGCCGAGCCTGATGTTGGCCCGCTCTAGCCAGCCAAGAAGGCCAGCCTTGTGCTCGAGAGCGAAGCGCTTGTAGGCCAGAGTCCGATCCACCGCCTCGTACCAGCGCATCCTTGCGGGCGGGAGGCGGAGGACGGTGGTGGGGTGTCGGAAGAGGCCCTGGCTGAGCAGCTCGGCGGTGGTTGGCACGGTGACGTGGGCGAGGGCGAAGCAGCCGTCGAAGGCGAAGCCGCCGATGGAGGTGAGGCTGGCAGGGAAGGTGACGCGGGCGATGGAGGAACAGCCGGCGAAGGCGTGGAAGCCGATGGAGGTGAGGCCGGCGGGGAGGTGGATGGAGGTGAGGGCGGAGCAGCGGCTGAAGGCGCCGTCGCCGATGGAGGTGAGGCCGGCGGGAAAGGTAATGGAGACGAGCGAGGAGCAGCCGAGGAAGGCCCAGCTGCCGATGGAGGTGAGGCCGGCGGGGAGAACGACGGAGGTGAGGGCGGAGCAGCGTTCGAAGACGTAGTTGTTGATGGCGACGAGGCCGGCGGGGAGGGTGATGGAGGAGAGGGCGGAGCAGCCGGAGAAGGCGCTACTGCCGATCGAGGCAAGGCTGCGCGAGAAGGCGGCCGAGACGAGAGAGGTTCGGTTGCGGAAAGCGCGGGCCGGCAGGTGCGTCATGCCTTCAGGCAGCACCGCGTGCCCGTCGGCGATTACGAGCTGCCAGCCGCCCACGTCCCAAGTCTCAGAGCTGGGCGGCGGCCGCGGCGTGGCGTGTTGGCGGCGGCGGCCGCGGCCGCCGCCGCCGCCGAGCGAGCCCTCGGCTGCGAGTGCACCAGCGGACGAAGCGGCCGCTCGCGGCGAGGCCTCGACCGCGCCGACCGCGCCCGGCGGCGGCAGCGGCAGCTCCGTCGCGATCACGACCTGGACGATGTGTTCGTCGGGGTCGGCCGTCTGCGGGCGAGCGATGGTCAGCGTCGTGCCGTGCGTCGCGCCCGGAGGAAGGGGCACGACCCAGCGCGCTCCGTTGCTAGTGTCGAGGACGAGGCGGTCGCCGGCCTTGGCGCCGCGCGGCACCGCGATGAGCATCGCAGCGCGAGAGGAGAGAGCGTCGGCTGATGAGCACTCCGAGCGCGCAAGAGGGAGGGAGGGAGGGAGGGAGGGAGGGAGGGAGGGAGGGAGGGAGAGAGAGAGAGAGAGAGAGAGAGAGAGAGAGAGAGAGAGAGAGAGAGAGAGAGAGAGAGAGAGACGAGAGAGAGACGAGCTAGGAGAGAGACGAGAGAGAGACGAGCTAGGAGAGAGAGAGAGAGAGAACAGACAAATTTACAGACGGGTGCGCGATTCCTCGAACGTGCAAGCGTGGAACCACGAGCGCTGTTGCGCTGGCAAGCCAGCGCAGACAGCCCCGGAGAAAAATCAATTTGATCATTGTGCCGGTCAGTGACCGGCATACCAGAGATCAAACTGATAAGAACAGATACTACACTTGATCTTAGCCAAGAGGCCGAGAAGAGTGAAGACGCTGCTGTGGAACGGGGGCCTCTTGAAGCGGCCCGCCGCCACGTGCCTTGTGGGTGTGCCCGCGCTCAGCGTCGGCCTCCCCCTCGGCCGCCGCTCCGCTCTTGTCACCGCGGACACCCGGGCTCGCCGCTCGCCCGCCCCTCTCTCGCCGCGCACCCTCGCCGCGCCCTCGGTAGAGTGCCCACAGGGCCCAAAAAAAGAAAATAAAAAAGAAATGGGCCACCCCAGATCGCAGCACTTCGTGTTGGCCAGTCGAGAAATTGAGAGTGTGACTAGGAGGGTGGGACGCTGGGGATTCTCAAAGGTATACCCTTGGAATGGCCGGATCCAGCCTTAAAAGTACGAGATCGCGCGCGCTTCGCGCACAGCACCGCCTGTTCTCCGCGGCTGTGTGACGCGCGCGTGCCGTGTACCAGCAGAGTTGGGCGCGCGCGGCGCGACGGCGCCCGCGAGGGGAGGCGCGGGTGCAGCGGCCGCCGGCGGCCGTACCGCCCGCCAGCCGGCGCAGCAGCGGCCAGCGCAGCGGCCGCCGGCGCAGCAGCCAGAGCAGCCGGTGCGCGCCTTGCGAGGCGAGTACTGCCGTCCGGCAGCCTTGAGGCGGCCGGGCGGCAGTACTCGTTCGAACTTTGCGAGCCGTGCGCGCGCCGAGGCGCCCGCGGCGCGCGCCCGCCCGGCTGCCAGTAGGAGGCGGCGCAATATGGCCTATAGTACAGCCCTTAGGAGGAGGAAGAGGCTGGCTGGCAGTGTGCTGTATGCCGCCGAGGGGCAGTTTTGGGGTGCTGAGTCGCGCCCAGGGGGCTGCAGAAAGCGTCCGCAACCGGGACAACCCGCCCCCCCAGCCGAGGCCGGTCGAAGCCCACTTGGAGGCAGCCATGAGGAGTCCTCTTGGTGCTCCTGGCGGCCGTTGGAATGGCGAGCGCGCCCCGATGGGGGGGGGGGGGGGGGGTCTTGCTTGCTCCACACCGAGCGCCATCGGTCCGGACCGGTGCCTCCACCGAGGGGTGGCTTGCACAAGGTCTGAGCCGCGGGCGCTCGGCGCCAAGTGCAGTGTCACGCTCGCGCTGGAGCGGCTCACAATGGGGAACCCTCGTTTCCTATGTACTCGGTCCCCCAACGGAAGAGGCCTCGCTCCTATTGGAACTGGCCAACATCAGATTTGCCGCGTGCGTCCCTTTTTGAGTCGCAAAGCTATTTTCTTTTGGGTCCTGTGGGCACCCTACCCTCGGCCGGCGCGCCGCCTCGCTCCTCCTCGCTGCGGGCTCGCCCGGCGAGCGCAGCCAGGACAGTGGCCACCCCGTTCCCCTCGAGCGCGAGGTTGTGGATGGAATCGCAGTACGCCCCGGCGGAGTCCGCGTTCGAGTTGCCGCCAACGGACAGCAGCGATGACCTGTAGTATGCTGAGGGAGGGTGTAGAGGATGTAGAGTGTAGAGCGCTGTAGAGCTGTAGAGCTGTGGAGCGCTGTAGAGCTGTAGAGCTCTACATCCGCCGCGTGACGAACTGCGTTGTAGAGCGATGTAGAGCGCGATTTTGCTGTAGAGTTTGTTGTAGAGGCTCTACAGCCAAACCGCCGGGAAGGCAGTGACTCAAAGAGGTCGAGCCGCGCTAATGGGGTGTCTGGTGTCTCCGAGCTTACTGGAGCTCTGATGGCGGCCCTGACTACCCCTGACACACAGAGAGTCACTCCGACGGTACACAACACCCTATAACTGCGTCATGACCAGCCTGCCATGCGTCGCCGGTGCCGCATTCGTCGCTGTGCTTCTTTAGCAGGCGGTGGACTGTCGGCTGCGAGGACGGTCGCATTTGCGCGAGGCGAGGCGAGCATTCAGGCGCGTTGCATACGCCATGACTCGCGCCAGCGCGCGTGCGGGAGCTCCAGGCTGAGCGTTGAGTCCAGGCGAGTTGCGCTGGCCACTATCGCTACGCCGAGCCGAGCTGACGCGCCGAGGCGCCGGCCAGTCGCAGCCGTGAGGCATGCCACAGCAGCAGAGGCACCTGCCACCCATTGAGCGGGCAGACAGAAGGCCAGGGCAGCACTGGCAAGTGCAACGCGCCTCATGTCGGAGAGCGACCGTGCCTCATTCGCCGCTTATGATGTAGAGTTTGTTGTAGAGATTTCACGTTGTAGAGCGCCTCTACATCGCTCTACATCTGCATCGCTCTGTCCCGCGCCGGATGTAGAGCTCTACAGCTCTACAGCGCTCCAGAGCGCTCTACATCTCTACAGCTCTACAGCGCTCTACACTCTACATCCTCTACACCCTCCCTCAGGTAGTATGTGGTTCCCTCTTCGGTCACCTCAATGCCCTCCGTCATCTCCTGTCGATCACTGCCGAATCCGATGTTCATAATGCTGAAGCCGGAGCTGTGGTCGAGCGTTGTTTGTACTGATACACGCAACACGGTTTCCTGGGACTCATCGGAAGTGAACAATGCGGTATGCCGCTGGTATCCGCCGATCGCGATCCTCATCCAAGTTACCACGTGAGTGCCGAAGTCATTGAAGAAATCGAGCGCCGCGTCAAGGGATGTGCGTCGCCGAGCGCCTCGACGGAGTCCACGAAATGCTGGTTGAAATCGTCCTCTGTCACCGCGCTGAGGCTGAGCGCTGCATCGAAGGCCGATGCCTTGACCTCGGCACTAAAGCCCTGCGTAAACCCCTGCTCGTACTTGCTCTGGTAAGACGTGGACGCAGAGGAGGAGGAACTGGAGGGCGTTCCTCAGGGTGGTCTCCGCCCCCACCTCCGCAGATTTGATAGGCACCTCCAGTCGCTCACCTGCTCGTAGCTGAAAGCTCTTTGCCTGCGACCGGAGTGAGGACTCGAAGTGCGACCGGAGTGAGGACTCGAAGGTGGTGTAGATCTCGCTGTAGGTAGTGGTCTCCGCGGCACAAGTTGCTGTACGCTGCGGGCTGACGAGACGCTCGGGAATCGCAAACGTTGCCGACCCAAAACTGTACGTCCCGGTGTACTCGAAGTCTGAGAAGACCGAGCTGCTGTGGGAAGCGACATGTCTGGATCTCCGGTCAAGGCGTTGTAGCCTGTCTTCATGAAGTCCTCAACACCAGGAAGCGTGGAAACGTGGCCAGGTCCTCGATCGCAGAGGCGTTGAAACCGCTTGATGCAAACTTGGAGGCGTCAACGGCACGGACCGTCAAGGCGTGTCTCGACTCGTGGTCGTGCGAGGCGGGTGTCGGTTCGAGCCTTCCCCAACGAATAATCCTTAAGCGTAAATTCTTGCGCTGATTTTCCAGCGTGTGCTGTGAGAGAGGCTTCTATTTCAATATTCAAGAATTCTTCCCCGCTCTTTTGAACGCAACACTGTTAAAAGTGACGAGCCTCTCAGCTCTCTCTGCCGCTGCGCAGCCGCAACTTCGCCGGCTTCCCTCTTATTTCGGCGAAGACTGATTGAGTGTCAGCGCCGCTCTCGAGCTCTCCCTCTCGGCTCGAAGCTGCTGACCAATCCTGCTTCTACGTCCGACTCGTCCTCCTCCTCCGAGTCGTCCTCCTCCTCGGCGGCCGGCTGCTGCGACGGCAGCGCCGCGTGCCGAGCCGCCGCCTCGCTGGACGACAACAAGGCAACGGCGGGAGAGTGCCGCACGGCGCCCCCTGAGCTCGAGCGCTGCCGCAGCAGACCCTGCGGCCGCGAGGCTGGGCGCGGCGGCTGGAACGGCGCGACGTGCGCCGCGCCGTCCGGGCCGTGAGAGCCGCTGCTGGAGGGTCGAGCTCCCTCATCGACACGCTGCCGCATCCTCCGAAAGTCACCGCCCTCCGCGGCGCGCCTCAGCCGCTCGTTCTCATCGCGCAGCGTACGCACCGGCGGCTCGAGTGCCGCTACGTTCGGGTCGTCCCACGACAGCGCCGCGTGCGGAACCGCCGCCTCGCCGCTGCCGCCCTCGCCCGGCGACGCGTCCGGCCCGAAGTCGCCCTCGAACGCCTCGCGGTCGCGCTGGCGCGCCGCGCCGTCCGGGCCGTAAGAGCCGAGCCTGATGTTGGCCCGCTCTAGCCAGCCAAGAAGGTCAGCCTTGTGCTCGAGAGCGAAGCGCTTGTAGGCCAGAGTCCGATCCACCGCCTCGTACCAGCGCATCCTTGCGGGCGGGAGGCGGAGGACGGTGGTGGGGTGTCGGAAGAGGCCCTGGCTGAGCAGCTCGGCGGTGGTTGGCACGGTGACGTGGGCGAGGGCGAAGCAGCCGTCGAAGGCGAAGCCGCCGATGGAGGTGAGGCTGGCAGGGAAGGTGACGCGGGCGATGGAGGAACAGCCGGCGAAGGCGTGGAAGCCGATGGAGGTGAGGCCGGCGGGGAGGTGGATGGAGGTGAGGGCGGAGCAGCGGCTGAAGGCGCCGTCGCCGATGGAGGTGAGGCCGGCGGGAAAGGTAATGGAGACGAGCGAGGAGCAGCCGAGGAAGGCCCAGCTGCCGATGGAGGTGAGGCCGGCGGGGAGAACGACGGAGGTGAGGGCGGAGCAGCGTTCGAAGACGTAGTTGTTGATGGCGACGAGGCCGGCGGGGAGGGTGATGGAGGAGAGGGCGGAGCAGCCGGAGAAGGCGCTACTGCCGATCGAGGCAAGGCTGCGCGAGAAGGCGGCCGAGACGAGAGAGGTTCGGTTGCGGAAAGCGCGGGCCGGCAGGTGCGTCATGCCTTCAGGCAGCACCGCGTGCCCGTCGGCGATTACGAGCTGCCAGCCGCCCACGTCCCAAGTCTCAGAGCTGGGCGGCGGCCGCGGCGTGGCGTGTTGGCGGCGGCGGCCGCGGCCGCCGCCGCCGCCGAGCGAGC